TGAATGATAAAATTTGATCAAAAATTTTATTTGTAGAATCCATACTTTTTGATGATAAAAGACATCCAGATAAAAAAGATCGAACCCAAATCATTATAAAAATATACTCGGAACCGAAAAAAGTTCAACGCCTTTTCAAACTTACGCTGAAACGAAATTATAAAACTCAAATCCACTTTTTTGTACCCAATCTTCAGAAATACTAGTTCAGTACGAAAAAAGTTTTGACATGAAAACAGAAAAATTAATATTTGAAGTTGCAGATACAAATCAAAATAGAGAAGACGGAAAATCGTACATCCCGATAACATTACACAAAAACTATGGACACATTGGAGGAAACGTTCTTCATGATAATCGTGATAGTACTCGATTACAAGAACTATCACTAATGAAAAACACATATTTTGGCACCATTCATTATAATATTCGCCTTGATATGAAACTTGACAACACATTTAGCAGACTTTTTCAAGAAATGTCTTTTTCAGAACTCGAAACACTGCATCATTTATGTGAATAAGAACTTGCGCAAATATGGCAATCTCTCGCATTAGCTGTACTCAAAAAAGCCTATGAAGGATACTTCTTATCAGGTAACCGCCCCTACTTCATTGATTATGAAGGAATCATTCACTGATATTACACTTGCACTTAAAAGGTGTCACCACTCTATGTATTTGATGAAAGATGCTACCAAAGTATAGCTATTTACTATTTAAAAGTTTAGAAAAAAACAAAGCACATTTTGTAAACACACTATCGCGACGAACGTATTTTTGGTATACACCTACTCCATGTGGATCTGAAAATGGCCATAGTGTAGAACAGCTTAATCTGAACGAAGATAAAAATTATCTTCTCACAGCAGACCCTACTTTAATGCCACCTTTAAAAAATTTTCATCTGAAAGCATCCGCGCGATAGCTCGAAACTTAACATGGATTTATAATCCATAGGCATATACTCAAAATCAGAAGCACATCGCATTCGTACACCACAGTTGATATCCAAAGACAATCATTTGACCAAAATCCCCGAAAACGTGCTGTTCCCAGACATGTATCGACAAGACTGTAGTGGATTTTTTCAGGACATTAATGGTTATTTTTATCTAAATGGAGAAAAATGTTACCCACAAGATATATCATCAATCAAGAGTTTTAAATTTCTACATATCAAAAATGAACTCAGCTCAACTTACATATCAAAGAAGAATTGAATTAATTCTGCGTATTGCTTAACTTTATAGGATTTCTTTCTCACTACTTAATTGAAACTATACTACATATGCAATACACACAAGAAAATAGACAAGATACTGTAGCAAGAATTTTACTCGCAGGAATAATTAGATTCTTTTTGATGCACAAATTAGAGTATGGCATAAAAAATTATCGACAAAACCAAACGACGCTCCTCATGACAATAAAAATATTACGACTAAAGCAACACAACACATACAGAGCTTACGAATCAATAACACTTTAAATTAATTCAACAAAATTACAGTAATGCGATCTCAGTAGAACGCATGTTACACATTAACTACCTACAATGAAGACCCATATCTCAAATAACACTTCAAACAAATAAATTCGACGACACATATGAACAAATTATCGAGTAACCACACACAGGAAGTTTTCGATCTCACAGCAATCATTTTTTTAGCCTACGAAGAGCCGACAATTTGCGTCTCTCAACCGTTCCCTAGCCTATCCATCTAATCTCAAACGCCACGACTCTCTTATCAAAATATCTGACTTCACCTCTTCCCGCCTACCCAGTTTTACATCTAACTCACCACACATGGATTCTGATGACTGAACCCAAGCCGTTCTTAACACTAACTCTAACTTCAATAACTCCGAAGTCGACACACCCGGTGAATTTTTGGACAGCGAGTCTAGTCCCATTTTTTTCTGAACCGCTTTTTCAACATATAACTCCCGCTACCCCTGTTGAAAACTCCAATCCCACTTCTTCACATACTGACGCTACCCCCCATTCCCACCTATCCAATGATGCACCCGACGTATCCATCCCCATTACTGATGACCAGCTTGAGCATGACTTAGACAATTTAATTGCTAGTCAGCAACAACTTCATCACACTAAAAACTCACTAAGTATTCACAACTGACACATTCCGCTTGCACTTCCGCATTATACATAACATCAGTCCACATTGCTCCCATCTGTGCACAACGTATTCTTATGAAAAGCAAACAACCAAATAACCCAACACAGATTCTTACAAATCGCCCACAACCATATAGACTCCTTTGAAATCATCATCCCAATACGTCATACCAATACACCATCGTTTTTAATAAATAATGTTCCCTTCTTCCCAGTACATTTACTACAACGCGAAAAACCAAGCCGAACAAGTCCAGTACGTTGATGAATATAACCTCCTACCAACCCTCTCCTGAATTTCATTTTATATTTTTACTAACCCACTAAAAGTGACATTAAGAAAGAACGTCGACAATATTGAACTATGTGATACAATAATTAATGAATCAACCAATGCACTACAATTGAATCAATTCACTAATATAGGATTAAATCAAACAGTTAACCATTTCATTGCACAAAAAGCTAACCGATATTCAATCAACCACTATGATCACACGGTTGTCCGATCTATGGAAGACTCATCGTATCATACTGACCCGGCGTACAATTCACAAATAACAGAAATGTTTTTCATCAAAACCGAATACATCTTTCATCTCGACAGCACACGACAGCACACTTTGGTAGCAAAGAGTTTGATTTTGTCATTGATCTTGAACCACTGAACACAAAAACTTAAGAACTATATTTAAGTAAATTTGACCCTTTTGCACTAACGTTCAACTTTGTAGCACCAAAAGAACGAGATATTAATTGTTCTCACAACGTTACACTAAAGAATAAACTCACACATACTCACACTTACTAAAATTTAAATAAAAAAAACTTCCATCACAGTTCACCATCTCGCAACCCCCACCGTTTTACAATTCATAAATCTATATAAACATCACCATAGCTTATAAATTTTACGTACTGCATCAAATCATCTAATCTTGAAGAAAAAAAATTTAAAAAAATCAAAATCTGGTTCAAACTTTCATTTTTGTAATCTTATTTTTGAAACGAATCAATTACATGAAATGAATTTAATATGTAGCATCAAACTGATCACAACACTGTAAATTACAAAAACGAAGCAACAAATTATGAATGAGCAAAAAAATAATTGCAGTAACATTTTTATGTGTATTCAAGTTTATAAACTCAAATTTTCTTATTTCAATCACCCACATTAGTTCATAAAGAACTGCTTAAGAAATGAGATTTAAGTTTAACAAACTAACTGATAACAATCTTAAGTTACTTTCACGCGTTTCAAAACCTTCCTTTAACCCGGTTGGATCGAAGTATGAATATGCTTAAGCTAACCAACGCAGCTTACTAATGCAACAAAACCAGCCGCATGTATGAGAAAGTTATAAGGATTAAACCAGATTAAACCCAGATTAAAAGTAGATAAATTATTCTTTTGAACAGCGATCTGCAATTTTATGAAAATCACTTGAAACACAAAAACATCAAAAGAGCCCCACAAATCAAAACAATCCATTTTTGAAAAAAGGGCACAACTAAAAAAACAATGAGAAAAAATACCAAATAAAAAACAGGAAAAATGTTAAACATGAAAAGAGACCCTGCTCAAAGAGACGTTAAAAATATACTCCCTAAACTAGCCTAACCCACTAGTAAAGGACGTCCCGAGCATGCTCTATAGCCGGCCTCATCCACCAGGCTACACCACACTTATGACACACTCAAATATGTTTGATTAGAGTATCTCTAGGATGAGCAGTTCTTTAAAATAATCACAACTAATACAAAACGCTTTCGCTAAAAAATTAACAGCAATCATAACTTAAACTGAAATTACTAATATGGTGAAGATATAAATATATAATGTAAAAATATTTCTGAGAGCAAAGAGAACGAGCAGCAAAGCGACACATAAAATTTGACGACATTCCGACTCTAAAGTGGCAAATCTATTGGTTTGTTACCGTAGTAACAACCCTCTCAGGATTGTTTTCTGGAGCAAATATCGCAGCAAAGGTATCCATTGAACAAGAACAATGGCTAACTCAGTTTGAATTCAAAAAAATCCTTGTCATGTGGCGCTTCACACAGAGAAGTCAGATCCTATTTTGCTATTTGATGGAAAGTTAAGAACGTAGCCTCGCTCTACTTAACGAAATCAAAGAATCACTATATAAGTCTGCAACCTAGACCCCATCCTCAACTCAATCACGATACACGAGACCTACTTCTTCAACACAAGCAACTGTACTCCTTCTCTCTTTATGAAGACAACTAAGCCTCATCGCGCCTTCGCTGTTTCAAAAGAATTCACTCCAAAAAAATTTCTGAAGCCCAGATGGGTGGAACCAGTCCAAAACAAATATTTTTTATATCCTTTTATGTTCTTGATAACCATCTCTATAAAATACTTAGAACTAACCAATCATGGTCCATGACTAAAACGTCAAAAAAAACTTGTAAGGCTGAAACTATTTATAGTTTCAGCCAGAAGAGAAAAAAGCTAACTTCTTGAGCAGTTCTTGATTCAAAACCTCGCAAATACCAGTGTACGCAAGATTTTTTGAGACTAGGAGACATAAGAGTAGATCATGATTGGTATTAGGCTAAGAAGTCGCACGAATCTATCCGGCCGAAAATAAGATAGCGTGATGAACAGATGGTGTACTTTATCCGAAATTACTCTATGAGAAATTCCGGACTTAATTTCAAATGGTTTAAAAACAATTTCAAGGAAATTCTGAGTTATCGGACAAGAGTTATCGCATCAAAAATTGAAAACAACAAGATTATAAAATTATCGGAATATCTGAATAATTTCATGGTGAGTTCGATATTACAGATTTTATATATGCGCGCTCATAAAAATTGGGCAGAATGTGAACAGTGATAAGAATGTATATGGAAAAAATTATCTCAAATCATATATTAGGTCACTCTAGACTAGGTAGATGAGTTGAAGCTTGGGTCAGTTGTCGGTGGTGTAATCGGACACATGAAAATTCAGAAATAACAACTTTACGAAATCACTTTCAAGTTCGTTGTGAATATTTTGAATATGTTACAAATGTTGTCTCGATTGTGTGATAATCGCTCTGCTTGCTTGAAGAGCGAGAAAATCTTCGTGTTTGCCGCCCTGGTCAGGGTGGTATTTTTTGGCCAGCATTCGATAATTATGCTCAACTTCTTGTTTCGACGCATCATGATGCAGTTCCATAAAACGATATGCCATAGAAAGAGTCTTTTCTCTCTCCGATAACGGTCGAAAATAGTCCAATAAATTAAAGTATAGCACATCGGCTAGGTATTGCAAAGTATAAGAACCAGCCAAAGCTCCGACACCTGCTCCAATAACAGACCCAATCGATCCTCCATACAAGGCTCCCATAGCTGAACCCACACCTGCCCCGCCCGCGGCACCTGTTTTTGTAGCCAAACCTGCAACATATTTGCGGGCACTTTGATCAGCAATATGATGACCATCTAATTCGCCCGACCAGTATTTTGTCATATCGCCTACTAAGAACAGAGTATCTTGAATAATATTCGTTTGTTTAACACCAAAAAGCTTCGAAAACGCTTTTAAAATGTTGTACGTCGTTGGGTCAAGTAGCCGAATCGCTTTTGCGTAAGCTTCGTTTAAAGCAGACCACTGCCTTTTTTGTTCAAGCTGTTCGTTTCGATGTTCGAGAAGAATCAAGTAATTTTCGTCCCAAACTTTCTGCATGTCCTTTTGATATTGTCGGTTTTCTTCTTCTTTCTCGGTAATTTCAGTCCATTTCAACAAATTCCTTTCATTCGTTGAAAAAATGGACAATCTCAGATTCCAAATATCATCTAGAAGATGGTTTCCCATCGGCGACGAAAAAAAGTAAATCAATCGGCTCAGCTGACCCGGATACTTTGTAGCCTCTTTTAGATCCTCTATTATGGTTTGTGGAATTAATGATAGCTAAAAAGCATAAAACTTAAATGAATAAACGGGCTGGAAAAAAAATTTACATGATTTGCATAGTATATGGAATGCGTCTGCAAAACTTCAGAAACTGTGTCCAAAAACTTTTCTATGCAATGGAAAAGGAAAATTGTTTGAGAAGCTAAAACAAAAGAAAAAGAGTATCTGTTTTTATCCAGAAAAAAATTCAAAATTTAGTTTTTAATGTTTGTTATTTGTAACGCGAGATGTGCTCCAAAAAAACTCAGGATAGTGTAGTATTGCGAAATACTACACACACAAAAGACCATTGTCTTAATTGTTTATTTAGCGACCCAATTCTAAATTGGAGCGTGCCATTTAAATTAAAGCCTCTTTTCACTAAATCAGATATTGACTGATTTACTCTTGTTAGGACTATAAAATCTTGTTTTGAAAATCCACTCCTTTTTAAATACTTGTCCAATTTTTCTCATTTTTTCATGCTCAATATTTTAAAAGGGCGGCGATTATTAATACGTTCCTTTTAACTTAATTTGAAACAAACTAGATAAATTTTTAGCAGTCTTGCCGGCTGCACTAAAATTCTCCTTGCTTTGATTTAGCATAGATGCACCTGCAATATGATGCATCAGAGAAAGTAATACGAATTTTTAATCAGACAAACTGAAGGCTGCGGTTTTCTTCAAAGAGGACTAATAAGTTGAAGATATTTGATTTGAAAAAATCAAATAAAAACTAGTTGAAAATTCCCTTATAAGAAAGGGAGAACAAAGGAGCAGGTGAAACCTGAATAATTAAAGATTGAATCAGCCGCCGGTTTATGCCTAGTAGGGTTCTTGCGAAAGCATCCCCTGCGCTAGCAGTCGCCCACGATATTCCTCCATCTCGAGGTCTATTAGACGGCTTTCTAACTGACATTAGCTCATGAACTTAACTATTATCTATTATAATAATAATATATAAAATTTCTGAAAGAATTGTTCTCTGCCTAAGTCTGCTAGTAAGATATACCCGTTTTGTCCAGTAATCCACTAATTACATGCCAAAACTTCAGTTCAAAGTTATCATCACCAAAATTAACGAAATTCTATATTAAACTAAAGTGCTCAAAAACTTATTACATATCTTCATTGTTTTTCGAGGGGGTTAAGTGGTCATATGTGCAATCTAAGAGTACCCTAAATTGTATGATAAATTGAATTCTTCATCACATTATCTCAAACCATCCACGCTTGTTGCTATTTATTCTGATCCTTCATCAATTCTCGAGGCTTATCCTCAATTTTTCTTAAACTCATTTTAATTATATCCACCTTAACGTAACTTGAACCTAAATCATCCACCAGTAAAGCTACCAATTTCTGCACTAAGGAAGAAAATAAAAAAAAACCAAGAAGGAAGGAACGGATTTGCGTGTTTTTTAATAAATCATTGGTTTTTTATGACACAGTTTAAATATACACCTAATAAACAATAAGAATACGCACTGAAACCCAATCTTAAATGTTAACCACATAACACCAAACACCAAGGTTTAGTTTTAGCACAAAAATATCAGGTTTCACAACAAAAACTAAGTCCAAAACACTGACACATCCACTTTATATTGATAAACTAGGTTTCATATGATAGCATAAGCACTGAAAAATTGATTTTTACCAGCCAAAATTTTTTTGTTTTCAGTCTAGGTTTCAGTTATAGGGTCAAACGTTTCAGTTAAAATAAGTATAGTTTCCGGTCAAAATTTTAAGTTTCTGTAAACGGATTCGGGTAAAACAGCAAAAGTTGAACTAGTCAAACCCAAATTTGGATACCATAAGTCAAAAACCTGGTCTTAAATGGTACGTTTTTGTTAGTTTCAGGTTTCAGAACACAAAAAGTGAGTTTTTGGTCTCAAAATTGAGCTCCGAACGCCGAATTTTGACTTTCTAGAGAAAACTAACAGTGTTAAAACCCACCAAATCAGTTTTAGAATTTAGTTCCTAAGGCTGAAACGTACGTTTCAGAATTGATGTTTTTGGTTTCAGACCCAAAAATCTTGCTTCCCAAGTGAAATTTTTGTAAAATATTGAAAGATAATAGGAATCCTTAATGCACTAACAAATTTTTAAACTCAAAAAACTTCTAGAAGGTGTTAGTTTGAGCCCTCAAACTTATAGGTTCACAAAACTAAAATCGTCGTTTTAGGCTAAAATTTTCATCTTTTTGGCAATTTTATTGCTGAAATAGAAATATATTAGAGAGACTAACCTAAATTTCCAATCTCAAAACTCTAAAACCAAGTGGTCAAACCATAGTTTCAGTTAAAGAAATTATAGTTTCAGCCCCAAAAACTTAGGTTTCCGCAAACAAATTTTTGATTTTGAAGTTACAAACCTGCTCAAAATTCTAATTTACACTAGACCAGCTATCAAAAACCAACTTTTTGTTTTCATGCACCGTGTTTGAGAGAGTTTAAGAGTTTTACGTTTGAGTTTTCAAAAACTAAGTTTAAGATATCAAAAGATTCGGTTTTCTCGAATTTTTTTGCAAGATAAAGCGAAAACCAGATATAATAAAGCGTATAGAAAATTTTAAGATTAAAAAAACTCAACTTCAGCTACCATAGTTTCAGGTTTCAGCTTATCGTTTCAGTCAAAAAAATTTCTAAAAAGTTTTAACAAAAAAATTAAGTTTTGAACCAATAATAACCAATAAAGGCATAAAGATATATTGTTAACCATACCATAGCATCAATAAAACTTCACCTGAACAAAGTTTCAGGTTTCAGTTAAGGTTTCAGCGAATAAAAAACTTGAAAAACTTAGAAAAGTTTTTAGAAATTTTTTTTTCCCAAAGAAATTTTTTAATTTCCTTATCTTATTTTTAATAACCTTTGTTAATATTCAATAATTCCTAAGAGGTTTTCATTACTCTAAGACATACTAATCAAATAGTACAACTTGGCTTAAGAAAAAGAGAACAAACATCGTGAAATTAAAGTCAACACATTTTAAAATTGACGTCAGTACAATAAATTTAAAACTCAAATTAGGTAATAAAGTCTCTAATATCATATGGTATATCACTAGCACTGAAAAAAATCATATTAGTATACTAGCGAAACACCCTAATGAAGATAAACACGAATTATACGTCTTCTTTCGACGATATACTCCAGAAATTGACACAATTCTTCAGCAAATAAAAATACCAAATAACATAATTTGTATACCGGAAGAGCAATTAATTGCTTCACTCCCGATTGCTTTTTGATATCATAATATACCCAAGCACAAAACTACTTGTTTTTGTAATCATTTTTTTTAAAAACACAAAATTTTCCTTAACAAAAGTTAAAAATAATAACAATTTCATAAAAAAAATTTAATTATTTTTTATATTGTTTATCATTCCCTAGATAAATATTTATGTCCCTAAAAGGATGTAAAATGCTATGACCAACTTTTATCAAGTAAATACAACAGCATTTAATTTAAAACTAAAATTAAAAAAAATACACAAAAATTATTTGGTATATCACCAATATCCAAAAAGATCAAATCACAATTTTGTCCAAACACCCACACAAAAATATTCACGAATTAACATTTCTTTCCAGCAGCAATACCCCAGAGATAACTTCTATCTTAAAAAAGCTTAATCATCCCCATAGCACTATTGATCTATCTAACAAAAATTCGTATTCATTGAACCCAGCAAACTTCATTGTAACTTAAATACAATTATTTCAGTCCGAACAATTGATCAGTACACAACACATCCAAACCCTTTATATATTGTTAACAAAACATTGAGTGAATTAAACAAAGATAGCAAACGTAGTAGCATATCCAGATTTAGCTCTCGAAAAGTTTACCGGCTTAGATCCGAATGAAGATGCAAGAGATTTTTTTGATATAGTAGAGAAAAAGATAGCATTTTCCCTAGGCACTAGACCAGGAGACGCAGGTGACGAACAAAACGCATATGATAACAGACAAAGAGCCTTATTTGGTTCAATATTAAGAGGTCCAGCCGCTCAATGGTATCAGGGATTAGCAGCAAACTTACCTTGGAATGATATAAGAGATCACTTCATAGATAGGTTCACTGATGATAAGGATAAGTATAGGAGACGAATAAAGCAGAAAACATAAAAAGACAACCTGATGAATTCATTAAGAGCTACATACATAGATTAAGCACCGCAGTAGACCGTGGATGGCCTAATCCAACTTTTAATGATGATCAAAGAACAGCAAAGAAAATGGAATTCTTTGTACGCGGCTTAAGCCCGCCAGGCTTGAAACAAAAGGCTCATCAATTCCTAATTGAGAATCCACCCGCAACATGGCAACAATTAAAAGATCATATTGCAACAAAAGACTTAAGTTTTGCAGTAAGTAGTGAGTTTACTGGAACAGCCTCAAGTAGTGTTGATAATAAGTTGGAGATAGAAGGAATAAAGGATCAGCTTAAGGAGTTAACAGGACTAATGAAAGATCATAAAATAAATGCAGCCTATAATCCAAATGAACCCAGAAACAAACAAAAGCATACCCGATTTTGTAAATGGTGTCGTAGGTCAGGTCATACTATCAGTGTTTGTTTTAAATATAAAGACCACAAAGATCAAAACAGAAAACCACCTCAGTATCGTGAAAAATTCTCAGACAATTATAATAGGAGATCTAGGCCTCGAGAAGAAAATAGTTATAACAATCGATACAATGGCTATAATCAGCGAAATAACAATAACAGACCATATTCTCCGTATACTAGACAGTTCAATAACAGAACAAATAGTTTCGATAGATCTCGATATCAAAGTTTTGGATCAAGAGATAGAATTTTCAATAATAGATTTAACGATCAAAATAACCCAAATCGTTATAATACTTACAACACAGCCTCAAACAACTATAATCAAATTAGGAACAGAAGCATTTCTATACCCGATCGAAATAGAAGATCATTTTCACAAGACAATTATCGAATGCGATACCAAAACAGACCTCACGAAAATAAATTCC